GGGAATGGCGGTAACTCTTGGACTTGTCATGCACCCCACTGCCCCAAGCAGCCAGATTCAGTATTTTTATGTTCATTTCGCACTAATGTTATGTTTTTATGTAATATTTATACATGTTTTATATAATATAGAAAACTTAATATTTTGTTTAATCATCTTGGTCGTCATATCAACATCCTTACCATACGAATATGTTCATATCTACTATGACCAACATATATCTGATAACAGTGCCAAGGCACTAACGATGCTCACCAGATATGTTCTCAGAAGGCTGAATGTAGAATGTAGGTAGTGAAATAGTTTCTATTAAAGTGAGGAATGGATGGCTTAATAGGGTTTAAATGTCTTTGTACCACATATGACTGACTGTTACATTGTTACTTATTTGTTGTCTGGGGTTGCAGTAATATTCCAGCAATAACATGGTGGCCAGTAAATAATGGAGTCTGGACCGGATGAACCATTGACATATCACAAGCAATGTCGCAATCAGTTGGGGCAAGCAATCGGCTTAGAGAGCCTGAACACTGATCCAGTGTGATCCATTTAGTTTCTTATTGATTGAGTGAGTATTGTTTTACGCGGCTTTTAGCAATATTCCAGCAATATCATGGCGGGGGACACCAGAAATGGGCTTCACACATTGTACCCATGTCGGGAATCGAACCCGGGTCTTCGGCATGACGAGCGAACGCTTTAACCACTAGGCTACCCGACCGCCCCTTAGTTTCTTATTGAAACGCGGGGAGACTGTGTAATGTGGTCTGTTCAATGTCGAGTGGACAGTATGCTCCTATTATATTCCTTAAAACATTACCTTGGTAAAATATCACAACATTTTGTTCAGCAGTCATTCAGATGCAAGGTATATGATTTTGCCATATTGCTAATATTTAGGAAACATATATAATTTATTTTTTTATAGTTTCTACAAAAGTTGCAATACCTCTGATTATGATGATTCGTCAATAGCATGTTCTGTGTGGACTGTAGGCACATACTTTTCAGAGCAGAGTCTCTTTGTCAGTCCTGCATATAACCAGTGGGAAGCACAAAGCACCAACATAACAGTGTGTGTGTGGGTCCCTAAGCTTTTTTCTTTTTTGCAAGAAATCTTACTTTACTAACCACGAAGTTTACCATAATGTTTACTCAACTAATCAAAAGCCTAAGTGATAACTTTTTAACGATTCAGTTTTAACAAATTACTAATTTCATTCAGCTTAGAGAACAAACATGTCAAACCTCTTGCTATATGACAAGCTTCCATTTTGTAAGTGTGGGATGGGAATATAGACAATGACAAAATGGCACCTGATCTAAAAGCCACAATCATTAACTAAAATAAAAGTAAGTAAAATATTTTGTAATCTGTCTGAAATCTCTACCCTTGATAGATTAAAACACATTAAACTACATAGATAAAACAAAACAGTTACTATTATTTACTTCTTAAATAATAATTAGTGAAATGACTAACAATTTTACATGTAGTAAATATACTGAACAAGAAAAATTACCGATCATGAGTATTTTGGGGGATGTTTTGGGGTTTTTTTTTGTAGAGATGACTCGGTTTCTTTAAATGAGTACTGTATATAACAGTATTTCATGATCCCTAACTATTGTGTTCAGTATACATAATACATGTTGCTCAAACACTGCCTAAGAACAGTTATCATCATGCGTTTTATATACCACAAGCACTTATGTTTTCCCAATATACATGACAAACTAACCAAGTATTTGATCTACCCAATTAAATGGTCACAAATAAACAGTTATAAACTGTGTGGCCAATGAATAGATGAACCTAAGGTACACATTGCACAATTGAGCTTTATATATATTTCTACAAGAAAATTGTCAATGCAAGAATTTATTCTGTTGATCTGTCAAAATTGTGTCTTTAATACAGTCTAGAAGAACTTGTCACATGGTTGGGTTAATGCACGACATCTGGTTCTACGCTTCAGCAATATTCCAGCTATATCATGCCAGGAAACACCAGAAACATACCACAGTGGAATATAAACTGAAATCCAGCCGGGCTCAGGTAAACTGTGGAAGAATCAGTCCATGTCACAGTGTGTGATGATACAGAGATACAGAGAGGCTCATCCATAAACATGTAAACATAATTATCTTTTTGTTCTAAGTCTGCAAAACACTACTATGGAAAAGCATAATTGTGAAATACTGACGTAATACTCAAGGTTTTGCTGTATCCAAATCACTCAAGATGACATAAATGACTTAGACATCATCACGTGAGTGCTTAGTGGTTAGTCACACTTATTAAACAGGCTTTGTTTCTGACTAGATTCATACAAAATCAATATCAATGTTGGTTTCATTTTATAAAAATTAGTATTGAGCACTCAAAGTATGGTTCGTTGTTCACCCTAATGAAGTTTACCTCAAAGTCCAGGGTCTCTACATATCAAGTGATCCACAGTTTGAGACAAGCAGAGTCATTAGTTAGGTACCTGCTTATCACTGCTTATATAACTCATCAAGTGAGTGAATGGGCAAGTTTGGTATAACGCCGCTTTGAACAGTATTTCAGTTATCCGCGTTAGAAGTTGGTACTAGTCCTGTAGTCCTTGTCAAACTGCCCAATAGTTAAGGTATCATAAGGACCAGTAGCAATTTGCCATTTTTAAGGGTTTTGCTATGTGTTATCATCATAAGGACTAGTGGAACAAAAATGTTAGTTCTACCGCTAGTTAAAACATGAATACACAATGCCCTTTAGAAAGTGGTCAAATGTAACGAATGTTATATTTGAGATAACACTTTCTTAGTAAAGTACAGATTCTCGTAGTTTTTTGGGGTTGAGTCCCCTCCGGGATTCGAACCCACACTTGCCAGGGTGAGGCACCTAATCGCCAGCACACAAAGTCAGCGATGGTCAAATGTAAAGTGTGATCAAATAAGAACGAGAATCTGTACTTTACTAAGAAAGTGTTATCCCAAATATAACATTCGTTACGTTGGTCATAAAATGTTATATCATGTCAGCTTCATGTGGGCGGGAAGCCACTAGTGATACATGTCTTCGACGTCGACATTGAAAATCAATATGTATCGAGTTATCACAAGGTTAATGAAGTCCATATACAGAAACAGTGTCCACAGGAAACAAAAAGTGTGTCCTTAATTTGATTTTTGAAATTGTTTAACAAGTCAATTTTTAGGGGGAAGCTATCAGATTTTAACAAATTTGTGGTCACTAAAATTCATGGAAATTTGCGGATCCGCGGAAGATTCTCACCCCTGTGAAATGGAGAGGGTGGTGTTAATTCCAATAAACACATATTCAATGCTTTGGCCTTAGTGTTGACATTACGCAAGTATTCCCGATGGCAGTTGTATCCATGTCATTCCATTTATGTAATATAGACTTCAGACAAATATAACACTGAGAATGTCAGGAACATCAGGCGTCCTTTGGTCAAGTGAAAATTTCTTGCTTTTGATCCTTTTTCGAAATTGTTAGTATTTGCCCTGTGTGTTGTGATTAATATCCATTAGCAAATGATTATCTACTCTGATGTTAATCTACAGTAGATTGTCCAACTAGAGCGAGTTTCATTTCACGCTACTTTCAATTGTATTTCAGCCATATCAGAGCATGACAGCTCAATGCAAGAGTAAAGTCCTCAGTCAGTGTTGCTGGTTGCTGACATTTATCACTTTGATCATGTTGATATAACCCACAACTGCGCTTGAAATGATCAAATCAAAATGAATCTGTGATCATGCCATGACCAGGATCTTGGCATGGCTAAGGCAGACGATTCTGCAGTGAGAAGCAGCACCTCAAAACACCTGACCTCCCATTCAGAATGTCCCCTTTGATTAGAAATCAGAGCTATTATAAAACCATTGTTGTTTTTTACAAATCCCGTCGTACAGATTTCATTTCATTAATGTCTGTGCTGGTGAAAAGAGTATTCAAGACATTGCAATGAGACTAAGTACTTTTCTGTAATACACTTTAATTGAATTATTCACTTTTTTCATCATGGCTTAATAACCATTGTCAAAAACTAACATGTTTGAATTCTTTATTGACAACCCTGTTATCTAAAACAAAAGCTGAGCAATTTCATGTTTAAAACTTCTCAGACACCCACAAAATAACATAAACTTTCTCAGCACTACATTTACCACAAATCCATTTACAAATTCAATGGTAATGGTAGAGCCGAGACAAGAACAAGGGTTCCATGTAACCATTGTTTCACTTACACTACGGTTTATATACTACTCAACATTTGACAGGGACAATGAGGTATTTCATACTGTAATGAGTGAGTATGGTTTTACGCCACTTTTAGCAATATTCCAGCAATATCATGGTGGGGGACACGAGAAACAGGAATCGAACCCAGGCCCTTGGCGTGACAAGTGAACACTTTAACCACCACCCCTCATACTGTTATGAAACAAGAGTGAGTGAGTGAGTTGGGTTTAACGCTGCTTTTAATAGTATTCAAGTCATATCGCAGCGTGTCAGCTTAATGTGGGAGGAAAGCCCCAAGTGATGCAGGTTTCAGACTTTTACCACTTCGGTGAAACCCACGAGCACGGGTATGGTGCTGACAAACCTAGAAACATAATTGGGGCGAACCGGGGTTCGACCCCACAATCATAGGTTTCTGGCGTGCCCAAGGGACGCAACTCAGCACAGCGAATAGCAGCGCCCTAGACGACTGGCCCATCCGTGCCCCCTTATGAAACAAGAAGATACCAGCATATTGAATTGTGAACTTGTGATAAATTGACTTAAAATGAAGCTGCACTAGTTAAAGTTGCTTGGCTATATTGAATACTATTCGGATGCAAAAATCTCTCAGCAATATGATAAATTTAATCCTAATCTGGGCACTGTGAACATCCCTATCAAAAGTTGAGTAGTATAGTAGTAATTACACTACCAGATAATTTTCTTGTTTGTAAGTGTGGCTAGCCTCAGAAATTGTACTTACGAAGGGGTACCTACCAGTGCTTCTGTTACGAGTTGGCTGGCTGGATGACAACGTTGTTTCGACGACACATGGTTCCATTCAGGTCAGCCATTGCTTTAGATGCTTCATCCTTAGTAGGAAATCCAACAACAGCATTACCTGTTGGGTTTCCATCCCCTGTGTAGTGAAGACGGATTGACTCGGGCACAGGGTTGTATTGGTGGAAAAATCCCAAGAGCTCACGAATTGTCACTTGAAGAGGGAGATTAGAACATCTTAGGTACACCCACTGCCTCTTCAGCACGCCTGGTGGTATAGGTTTGACATTCGCTGGAGGGCCGGGATTCATCCCAGGTCCTCCGGGTCCTCCAGGACCTCCAGGACCTCCGGGCGGTCGGTTGGTGTTGAGACTTCTTGCATTCCTAAGTCTGGTGATCATTTCCGACTTCAATATGGGTTTAATTGTTATGACATTAGGTCCTATCATTTGCTGATCCCGCTTCAAAGATTCTTTACAGTCACTTTTATTTGTAAATTCAACAAATCCTTCTCCAGTTGCATTCCCTAACCCATCGTGACAAATCTGCACACCACGTTGAGCAACATCCAAGCCAGTGACAAGTTCACGAAGTTCTCTGTATGTTGCTTGCGTAGGCAAGCCCACCATATGAATACAAACATAGGGATAATCCCCATCACCTTGTCCCTTTTCACCATCTTTCTTGTCACCCTGATGTGGAGATTGCTGTGACTTGACATCACAATTTGATTCAGATGACTTAGCTTTTTCTCTTTCGTCTTTCGTTCCCATAGTGACACGCAGAATTCTAGAGCCCATGTGATGACCTTCAAATCCCATGGCTGTCTTGTAGTGATCTGCAGTTCCAACTTCAACACAAGCTGTTCCAGTAAACATGCCTTTTGTGTCGTAATCCATAAACACTGATAAGCTATTGTCAATTATTCCAACACCAGCAAATAACTTCTTGACATCATCAACAGAAACATTAAGTGGGAGGTTACAAATCTTGACAATGAAAGGTTCACCAGCAGCAGGCATAATAAGAGAACCAGGTGGTCCCTCAGGTTCATCAGACCTTGGTCGTTTTGATGGTTCCGTTTCATCCTCGTCCTCATCTGGTACAAATGAATCAATAGCCTTTTCAAACTCTGCAACAGAACATCGGTGCACAATTATTGTCCTTCCATTCATGTCCATTCCATTTCGTTTAAGGGCACTAAAGCTTGAATCCTCATTCGTAAATCTAACATAGGCAGTCCCATTTCTTTTGCCCTGGTCGTTATTGATCAGTTTCAGACCATCAAATGGAATTTCACAACCAGCAAAAAATCGTCGCACACTACTGTAAGAAACAGTGTATGGCAAATTCTTGATATGGATATAGACATTCCCTGTGTCTGGCTGTCTTGGTCTCTTCCTGTTCTGATCATCCATTACAGGTCTTTCCCTCGGTGGAAAAGGTCCCCTGGGCTCGTATCCTTCCTTGTGATCATGCATGTCTCGCTCCATTGGCCTGCCAGGTGGGCCTCTTGAGGAGCCATCATCTGGCCATCTGCCATCATGACCTCCATCAGGAATCCAATCAGGTCGACGGCGTTCATTATCAGGCATAAATGGACGAAGAGGACCTCGCTCCTGAGAATCTCTGTTCAGTCTTGGAGGCATATCTCTACCTCTAAACTTGGTTCGCCCCTCAAAGTCGTCATTATTTCTGAAGTCTTGGTGATCACCGTGTCTCCCAAACTGGTCTCGGAATTGACCAGGGCCTGACCTATCAGGCATAAAAGGCCTCTGGTTCATATCTCTGACATCATGTTCCATCCCCATATCAGGTCTATCCAATTGTAATCTTGGAGTAAACATTGCAGGAGCATCGCCAAGAAGTCCTTTCTGTCCACCGTTTACAGATCGTTTCTCAGGGAAATCTTGAAGTACAGATCTCACTGGAGGACCACCTGGACCATTGTTTGGTGGGAATCTTGCTTCCATTTCCCAAGGAGCATTCATGTTTTCTTCTTCAGGTGGGTATTTTGGGTATTCACCTGGTCCTCTTTGGTAACCATCATCATGGAAGCTAGCTGATCTCATTCCTGGTGGTCCCCCTTCAATCGGTCTGCCTCTCCCCTGTGGTAGCATTGGTTGTGGTGGTCTTTGTGGAAATCCTTGATCAATGGGTGGGCCACCACGGAAATCAGGATCTGGTGCCCTGTTATTCCTGTCAAAGCCATTTCCTTGATCTCGGAACATAGGTGGATGACCTCCTCTTGGACCATCGGGAGGTCCTCGATGGTCAGGTCTAAAATCAGGATCTGATTTTTCATCAAACCTTGTGGGTGGACGTCTTTCTTCCATTCCAAATCGGGATGGTTTTGACATATCTGGCTCAAATCTCTCTCTAGGTCTGTCCATTCCCCTTTCTCGTAGAGGGAACTGTCTTGGTTCATTTGGAGGGAATGAATCAGGTGGCTGAGTAAATGGCGGAGCATTCCCATCAAAAGGTCCCTCTGGTTTTACAAACTGGTCTTGCGCAGGCCTTCCAGATGGAATTCTTACATCATCAGGCTGCCTTGCAGATCCTCTTGACATTGGAGAACTTCTTTGATCAAAACCTGACTTTTCAGATCTCTCTCTTGGTTCTCTTGAATCGCGTCTTGATTCTGAATGATCCCTTCTGTCTCGGTCTCTGTCTTGTCTCCTATCAGATCGATCAGATCTGTCTGACCTATCAGAACGTTCTGATCTTTCTGAACGATCATTTCTATCAGACCTGTCTGACCTACTTCTATCTCTGTCTGATCGGTCTCGATCAGATCTGTCTCGGTCTGACCTGTCTCTTCTGTCACGCCCATCTCTTCCCTCCCGACTCTCCCTATCTCTGCCTTCTCTACTACCTCGTCCATCCCGATCTTCCCTTCCGTCCCTTCCGTCCCTTCCATCTCTTCCTTCCCTCCCCTCTCTCCCTTCTGGACCCCGCCTGAAATCTCGGTGATCAGGTCTGCGAAAATCTGGTTTTCTGTCCATAGGAGGTGTTGGTTCATTCACGGTAAAAGGAGTTTCTTGGTTGGCCCTAATAGGTGCTTGCTCTAAAACCGGTGGCCCATTAAACGGGGCTACATATTGCTGATCAGGAAGCTGGTTTTGCATGAAAGGATCTTGATATCTGTCATTGGGCATGCCTTGGTTTCTTGCTCCAAATGGTGGCGCATCCCTCTGAAAGGCATCCCTCTGAAACGTATCCCTCTGAAAGGCATCCCTGGGTGGCCCATCTCTTGGTGAATCCCTACCCCCAGCTCCATATGGAGCTCTATTGTCGGGGGGTGGGTAGCCACCTTCAGGGTATCTAGCTTGTCCCCCTTGACCCCAGGCATCTTGAGAAGGACGATTCTGATAGTTATCTTTATAACCTTGTTCGTTTCCATACATTCCTTGTTGAGCATCTGGGCCACCATACTTAGGATACTCATCTCGCACACCACCCCGGTTATCATTAGAGGACAGGCCCCTGGTGTATGGATCATCATATTGTCTTGTTGGCTCAACTGGGAGGGGCTTAATGGATGGTTCTGCTGGTTGATCTACAGACTGCCCTGTTCTAGCTGCCTCTATGACGTTTTGCATCTCTGTTTTACTACTCAACAAGAGCTGTACAGGCGATCCATTCAGGCTTTGAAATGTCTTCATCATGGCTTGTCTTGCATCTTCGTCAGTGCTGAATGCAATGAAGGCATCTCCCTTCTCACCTCCAATGATGTGAACCCCTCCCGGCGGTACCTGTAAGCCTTGGAAGAAGTTGCGAATATCTAATGCACTGGCTGACCATGGCAGGCCTTGAAGTCGAATAATCACAGACATCTTTTAAATCTGAAAATAAAATTAAATTAAATTAAACAAACCTGCCTCATATGTACACTTACAAAAGAGCATATATAAAGTCATGAAATTAGGATTCACTTTAGTTCATAATCCATTTTTTTTCCATTTCATTAATAAATGTTACTTAACTTGATGTTAATTGTGAATGCACTAATTATTCATCATCTCCAAGTTGTTTTGTTTGTTTTGTTTGTTTGTTTAACGCCGCACTCAGCAATATTCCAGCTCCAAGTTATGTAACACCTGTCTTCAATTGCAATAAATATACTTTGTTCCTACCTAAATTTGAGTGAACAAGACCATGAGATTGTTGATATTTCAAGAAGTCAGCTCGTCTGTATCTGAAAGTAACAAATATACTGTCAGTCAACGAATGCACAGTGCCCAAGTCTCGAGGTTTATGAAAACACACACCTTTTAGTGTCTGTGAGCAAGTTAAGTTTAACAATTCATAGCATGTCAGGTTATGTGAGAGGAAAGCCCCAAATGATGCACGTCAGACATTTACCACTTTTGTGAAACCCACAAGCATGGGTATGGTGCTGACAAACCTAGAATCTGGCCAATCAGGTTTCTCTCCTTGAGAAGAGTTTGTGATCGATGGATTCAAGCCAATAAATGACAAAATGTGGAATGGCAGTGTGACTTCTCACATTAAGGATTTGGTAGTGAATGAGATATAATATACTTGATAAGCAACGAATATCTGGACCAGACCTGTGATTAATATTTTGAGCATTTGTACCAAGGCTGAGAGCCCAGCCACCCAATACATTAAGTCATCTTTACAGAAAAGCAATTGTCTTGACCAGACTTGAATGTTACAGCGGATTATGAACGATGTCGACTTTGTTACTGCATTTGGATTGCACTCCATAATTCCAGGCGATTTGGGCAAAGGTGGAAACTGAACTTTTAGAGTCAGTTATCTCTGTTGCCTCAGTAAGATGAGTGACAAAGGTTGTTAGCTATGTTTGTGCCAGTCTGACTTGACACCAGCAAGCTTAACTAGGCAATATATATATACACTGCAAGGATCAGGCAATGGCTATTTCACTGTTTCAGGTGGACATCAGCTGAAAATGATGTTAAAGGCAGGTTCAGCCTTGCTGACAGAGAAAACTTGCTTAGAACTGGGCTTTTACTTTTGTGAGAATCAGCTGGGATTTCATTATCATTTATTAGACATAAAAAGGTCAGGACAAAGTGTATTTCCCTGGAATTACATGCCAAAATTCCTCCTATTGTCAGATTGTTTTGTTTCCTAAAGGTCTTAGTGTTTTAAACAAATGACAACTGTGTTGATGTGTAATTATCAGAATGATTATAAATATACATAATGAATAAAATGAACAAAATTTACCAAAAATCACTATCAAGGGAACAAATTACTTTAACAGGGTGTAACAAAGTTGTAAACCATGACAAGTTTCAGGTCTTTAAAAGCTTTTTTGTTCGTTTTGTATGATAAACTTTCATTCATCACTTCATGGATTGTCATGCCAACGGAACCATTTGCAGATCACTAATGATCAGTTTTGTAGCCATGGATAAAGGGTTTGAAATAAACTATATCTCTCTCCTTGATAAATGCCTTGGTCCACAAAATTCAAGGCAGTGTGTAAATATTTTAGTCTAGGCAAGGCATTGCTACTGGCCAGAATTTATTAGTTGGTTTCAAAGATAATTTCAAAACTTTCAGATCAGTTCTGCTACTAATGAATAAAAAAAGTGAAGCAGTGGCGGATCCACCATCCCTCTTTTTACATCTGATGACCTTTTGTATGCATGCGCATTGCCTACCATGATAACATCTTGATTTGCTCGTTAAAGAAAAACAAATAATGGTTTACATGTAGTGTTTGTGATTTTTGGGGTGGACTTTCCCCTCCACCCCAACCTCTGAAGTTACAAATGGCCCAAGAGGAACCTGCATTTTTCTATATCCTATCAGTCCCTATCAAGTATGACTTCAAAACAAGACTGAAATATAATTGACCATTTTGATGGGGGGGAGGGGGGGGTAGAATAAAAATTTGTATACATATTATTCACCATTTTATACGAACAGCAAGCTGTGATAAAATCATGTGGTTTGGTTTGGGTTTTTTATGTTACCTAATTGTAGCACAAAGTCTTAAAAAAGAATTCTTAAGTAAATCTGAACCAAACTTATTTATTTTTCTTTTTTTTTGTGTGGGTTTAACGCCGTACTCAGCAATATTACAGCTATATGACAATCCAGTTATTGACATGATCCACACATCAATCCACGCAATGGGGATACAATGACATGCATCAACCGACCCAGCAAGCATGACCACCCAATCCCATTAGTCGCCTCTTACGACAAGCAAGTCGCCTTTTATTGCAACATGGGTTGCTGAAGACCTATTCTAACCCAGATCTTCAAAGGTCAGAAAATCTGTATATTATGAATTAAACATAACAATCATAAAGGCAGACTTGTTGATCTCGCAGAAGTACAAGTGTGTATCATTTCATTTGTAATTTAGTAATTCAGAAATTACACATGATTAAATATATTTCTGAAGTTCTTGGGTGTCCAGAACAATCAAAATTATTCACAGTAACAGACATCTTCCAAGTCTGGAGATTTTTAAATTTTTATGCACAAGGATTTTTGTTCACCTCACAATGTAGATCATGCATATAGTTTGTATCATGTGCAAGAACAAAGATGGAGTGTCAATTGCCAAGTGTTTCTCAAATTCATTGTAGTTCTCCCAAATAGTGATCATAATCTGCATTATTAATAATGGCATTTTTGTAAAAAGTCAAGAAAAAATTCTAACCAGCAAGATATCAGATCCAATGGTTTTGTATATGGTTGTCATAACCATCTGAATCTCATATCACTCAGCTTGTCATAAGTTGCCTTTATCATTTTCTCATCAAGATACACTCAATTTCAATGAAAAATGGCCCACCCTCCAAGTGGATCATCTCAACATGCGTTGTGAGAGTTGTGTTTTATGCCACTCTGAACAGTATTTCGCATATATTACAGTATGTCAGCTTCATTTTGGTTGATAGCACAAAGTGATCCAGGTTGAGCGAGTTGTGTTTAACGCCGCTTTTAACAGTATTCCAGTTATATCGCGGCGTGTCAGCTTAATGTGGGAGGAAAGCCTGAAGTGATGCAGGTCTTAGACGTTTACCACTTTGGTGAAACCCACGAGCACAGGTATGGTGCTGATAAACCTAGAAACATAATCGGTGCGAACCGGGATTCAAACCAACAATCATAGGTTTCTGGCGTGCCCGAGGGACACAACTGTGCACAGCGAATTGCGGCACCTTAGGCGACTGGGCCACCCGTGCCCCCTTGATCCAGGTTGAAGATACAGATCACCTTGGTGACACCCACAAGCATAGATGAGGTGCTGACAAACCAAGGATCATAAAATGGTCCAATCAAGGACTTGGTAGACCCTTGGATGAATCAGGGAGGCAAATCTGCACAGCAAGTTTTGGTGACTTAGAAAAACTGGTTACCCATACCACCCAATTTTAAAATGGAACCAGCCATTCTAATTTGCATGTCAATTGTTATTTGTCCGTTTTAAATGTCACTGGTGATGCCAAAACAAGGATCATATAAAGCAGGTTGAATCTAGTACTATAGGTAATCAAAAACTAGGATCAGCAGAATGAGACAAGGGACACAACTCAACACATAATTTTCAACATCAAAGGTGACTTGGCTTCACATGCTCCCTTTGATATTCTGACGTTGGCTGGTTTGTTTTTTACACCGCACTCAGCAATATTTCAGCTATATGACGGCAGTCTGTAAATAATCGAGTCTGGACCAGACAATCCAGTGATTTTATCATGAGCATCGACCCACGCAATTGGGATCTAAAGTTACAATGAGTAACATATTACGTACAAATTGAGCTACTGGGAATAAAGGCTCGGGCCAACATAATTGATTCCCTCAAGACTCACAATCTGTAATTCTCGGCAGCTGGTTGATTATTCTCTAAGTGTCATTCTGTTTCTGGACCAGTAATTCCATTAGTGATAAATGTACATCTCGGTCACAGGTATGCATTTTGGTAAAGGTTGCAGAAACAAACAAATGCTCCATTACTGATGATAAAATTACTTTCAATTACATAATAAGAATTGGAAAGCAGTGTTATTTCAAACAGAGGATGACAGCTGGAAACTATTCATTCCAAGAATATCAAGTACAATTGTTGATTTGTTGAGAAATGCAGGGAACAACTAATTACTTGACACAAACTTGCAAAATACCAACTTGACCATGAAACTTTCATGCAGCCTATGGAGTACATGGAAGGTGTTGCTCAACCTTCTTTCTATAATTTGTAAGAAGAAATCCATTATTTACTCCTCCTTCTCACCTAGGATCTAAGGATCCAAAACTCATGGACATCATTGATAGCAACAGCTTTCTAAACATGCTAATGTTATCAACAGTGTACCTTTCACATACTGGTAATGGATACCAGCCATCCTTTCCATATATTCCCTGGACACATTCACCCAATAATTTGTTTTTCCCGTCCTGTTTGGGATTACGGAAAGAGTTCTGTCACATATATTTTCATGATAAGCAAGTGGTGATATCACCAAATACTCAACTGGATTCAAATACAAACTGGGAACAGCCAGTAGCACCAGGACGTCTTCTTAATACTCAGGATCTATGGGGATTCTGGGCTAGGATAAGTCCCCATGCAACTTGATGCATCTGCTGCTCAGACTCACTGACTTGGTTGATTGAATGTCATCATACCCAGATGAATGTTTACCTAGGTAGAACGCGTACGAGTCATTAAACCCTAGGTTGTGGATTTCAAGCTCATGAGCACATGATCTGTAAAAATTTAGTGAGACATTTCTTCCTGGATGAAGCGAAGTGGAGAATGAAGAATGGATTCTAAGATACTTGTGTTAATAGAAAGGGAGACACTAGGTGCCATCATCATGTCTTGTTTATTGTATTCCGATTCATGCCATATGGATTAAATAATGCTGATGCGACGTTAGTAAAATTTTACTCACTCTGACAATCACAGTAATGTTACCTGTGTGGCTTGTTCCTGAGGAGTTTTGTACCTTGTTAAACACTATTCCAACAGCTTGGCACAGCTCTACCTACTTGGGAATCAAACCAATGTCATCAAGATTAACTACTTCTGTGGTTCAATACCATTATCTTTTAGGTCATTAAGTTGGTTAATCAACTGGGGGGGAAAAATGGCCCCCAGACACTGTAGCTCACCTGGAAATGTAGTCAGAACTATTGTCAGTGGTCATATTGAAAATACATTTGAACAGAGAG